ACTACAAACACAACCATTACAGTGTCACTTCTTTCACATACTTTAAAACCACTATTCTCAGGGTCATTGATTGGAAGCTGTCTCCTCTGGTCAGAAAAGATTAAATCCCTGACCAAAAGCCTTGGTAAGATATGATCCTTCATTTGCTCTTTACAATGACACAGGAATTGTGTGTCTCAGTTTAAAAAAAATACAGTTGTGCTTGGGGTTATCTTAAACCTACTTGAAATCTTTTGCCCTACCAGGAAAGTGTGAATTCTTTAAATAAGAACCTAGGTCATTCAAATCTCCAATTGAAGTTCAGAATAGAAGTAAATATTTACCAGTGTGTCTGGCTCATTTGACATACTGACTGATTGGCTTCTGTCCATCAAGTAAGGAGCCCAGAGCTCTTCCTGTTCCCACAGGCAGTGCCTGAATTATTTCTCTTTAAACACTTGTTAGATCCTTAGTTGTAGGTGTAAGCCTTATGCCCACCTTTGGAGCTCAGCTCCATCCAGACCTGAGCTCCTCTCTGCCCTGGAGTTCCAGGCTTACAGCTGGCCCCTCCCTCTCTCCACCCAGACCCACCTGAACTCCCATCTACCTCACCTCCTACCCTCAGACCATGCTGCTACCTAGATAGCAAGGTCGCCATGTACTCTCTCTCTCTCTCTGGGGGCAAATATGGCTCCTCTAATAAACCTGTGATAATCTTTCTCCTGTGCCTGCCTGCCTCCACGTGGTTCCCTGGGCTGGATGCGAGGGCTCCTTTCAGTATGGTATGCTAGAGGACTCCCCCTGCCAATTTCCTTGTGTAAGGCATACCTAGGCCTATTCATCTAACTAATTAACTCATCTGTTCTTTTTCCTCTGACTCCATTCCCTCACTGTATCCCACTTCCCTGGACATACAACTGTTGCACTGAGGGTAGAATATAACTTTTTTCTGGTGACTACATAGTAAACCCTCCTATGTCCTATCCCTTCTTTTTCCATCATTCCATTTTCTTGGGCCTTTATGAGATTTATCGCTTCGGCCACAAAGATACCATAATCCTGGAAGAGAAAGAGAGAACTTAGCAACTACAATGGCTTCTAGCACATTGCCACTCAGCCACATTATGGTAAGACCCCCTTGCTTAAGAAGGACCCTGAGGGGCTGGGAAGATGGCTCAGTGGTAGAGAGCTTGCCTTGCATGCCTGAGACCCTGGGTTCGATTCCTCAGCACCACATAAGCAAAAAGAAAAAAGCCGGAGTGGCACTGTGGCTCAAGTGGTAGAGCGCTAGCCTTGAGCTGAAGAGCTGAGAGACAGCGCCCAGGCCCAGAGTTCAGGCCCCACGTCTGGACCCAAAAAAAAAAAAAAAAGAAGGACCCTGAAAGGCAGGTGCTATCCTTGGGACACACAAATTTAAATTAACAGAAGACTTGAATGCAAATGGCAACAAATGGGCATGCAGTTTCTGCTCAACACAATCTCCTATGTTTTTACATAACTCTAACTCTCCACTGAATTCCATTATATGCTTCAGATTATGCTAACAACCATTGGTAGGAAAAATAACAGAGCTACAGTAGAAAAGGAAAATGAACACAAGAGATGTGAAAGGAAAAATAAACTGTAAAAATCAGTCATTATCAATTGTGGATAAAATTTTAAATTAAGAAAAAAAATTAAGAATAACATTACGAGAAAAGCTAACAATGCTTCTCAGAAAAAGTTTATCCTATATTATAATCAACAAGAGATGACCAGGCATGAAACAAAAAGAAAAGAAAAACACAAAATAAACCAGCACAGTGGCTCACACCTGTATTCCCAGCTATGGGGGGCAGAGATTGTGAGGAACAAAACTTAGGCTAACTTGGGCAAAAAGTTAGTGAGTCTCCATCTCAAACAATAAGCCACGTCTAATGACACATGGCTGTGATATAAGACCACTCAAGAAGCTGTAGACAGGAGGATATAAGTCTGAAGCCGACACTGGACAAGATCCTATCTGAAATACACAACCAAAGCAAAAGTGATCTATGGGTGTAGCTCATGCGGTAGAGCACGCAGAGTCCTGAGTTCAAACTGCCATCCTATCACTAACACTACCCCTCCCCCCCAATAAAATACCAGTAAATAAAAAGTAAAAAGGGCAAAATGCAGAAATGCACAAAGACAAACAATAATGTCAAATGACTTGTAGTAAATCTTTAGGTAAAGAAGAAACAATAGTGTAGGGAAAGTTTCCCAATTGGAGGAAAAAGTCTGAACAAATGTAATGTACTGACAATACCTTATCAACCTAACATGTTTTGTGATTTTCAAAACATAAAATGCATCCTACATAACTTTAATTAATCAAGACCATCATGTTTGGCACCTTCAAGAAAAGGAGGAAGGGAAGCAGGGAGGGAGGGATAAAGTAAAAGCTGGATCCTCCTCTTCCCATAGCCACTGCAAACCCTAGAACACCTCACGGAGTGAGCTGACATCCTTGCCTCCGGTACACCACAGTTCGCTGTCTCCCTCTGCCCTTCCTTACTTAATGGGTGCAGAACCAAAAAGTATGCCCTGATAAACTTAATATTCCTCTCAATCCCCGCTTTAGGATGAGCTATTTCAGTACCCAATACACAAGTGTCACATCTTATGTGAGCGCAGCAGCGCCTCCTGGAGGCAGAACTGCTTCATCCTGAGATTGGAACTTAGTTCTGGTCCTCATAAGTTAGGAAATAGGACGCTGACACTGATCTAGGAACTCCCTTTACATGGCTTGTTGAAACATTATTAGCTTATTTCAGAAGAATAAAGATCAGGTAGGAATGTAAAAACATGGCATATTAATATTGCCCTTCACAGCTCTAACATTAAAAAGTGTGGATTGTAAAAATGTATAACTTAGTTTCTCAAGGGAAAAAAAGTATGTGCATTTTGTTCTTTTCTGGGAAAAAAAAAATCCTGGTACCAGTTACTGGAAAACTGAAAGGGCTCTAAAACTTAGGAGAGAAAACAAACTATAAAGTGAGCAATAATATTAACAATGAAAAAGTAGCAAAACCAAAAAATACTCTTAAGGAGGAGAAATTAATTTGAAATGTGAAATAAATTTAGAAGATATTACAATTTTTTGGACTATCAGAATCAGTAAGACGGAACACTAAAACAAATGTCTATCAAATACCTTTTGCAACCCTTAGGTCTCATGGCCCTCATCTATATTTATATTTTTTTGAATTTGGTCATTCTTTTCATTTAAAGATCCCCCCCCTAAAAAATACCTGATAATTCCTTCTTCTTTGCCTATTTCTTTTTTATCTGTCAATTGTTTTTCCTATCTAAAGTATATCGATGCCTTTAATCCAATGTAAGTCCACTGAGACAAACCAATACACCACTTCCTCTTATTGGGAACCTTTCTCGCTTAACTTTTCAGTGTATTCTTCACCTCCTTCTTGTATAAGTCAATTTCTTCTCCATTCTTCAAAAAAAGAGAAAGTTCAAACTGAAAGGTAGTGGGTGACACAAATTCACTAACATAAATTCAACTACCTCCTCCTCCTTTAATTCAATGAATTATGTCCCAAAGAAATATAGATATTCCAGCTTAGGGAAAGGAGAAGTCTTGTACTTTGGCAAAATAGCAACAGCTGATTTAGTAGCCATGAGAATGATTGTGCATCTGATCACTGACAGGAAAACAGAGGGTCTTATTTACTGTCTTTTGCTTTGGTCTTCTAAGTAGGTACTGTTCTCTGTTTACTTTCTCCTTAGCTGTAGGCCCTGGAACAATGTTGAACATGATGTTGACCGGCCCTGGTGCCAGACAGGATCAGAGGCTCTGGAATATTTACAGTTTCCCTTCTTCTGCTTCCATAAATGAAAAGGACAGTCTGAATGGAGAAAATCAAGGGGCCAGCTGGCTAAAAACACTACTGGCAGCAAAGCACTTGGGCCCCTTCCAAGAGCTGGTGTTTAAAGAGAGGCCATTTACAGAGCAAATCTTAACGACCACAGTAATGGCTCAGGACCTTTAGCTGTAGCATGGGGTTGGAAAGTCTTAAACAAACAATTCACATTTCCAAACTTTGGAACCTATTACATATCTCTTTCTCCCTAAGAAGTTTAGTAGTCTAATAATAAATGCCTTAAAATAGCAAGTCCTTTATCCCCCATAATAAAAATCACAAATACATTTTACGTACTTTGAGAACGCTCAACAGATTCTGTGCCATGGTGACCAGTACCTTATTTTTGCTTAAAATCATTCATATATAAAAAAAGAAAGAAAATAAGTTTTAAGAAATTGGGATGGAAACACAGAGAAACAAGAAATGACCTAAGAATTTAAATAAAGTAGTCTGGATGACAGCCAGATAGTTAAAGGAATTTGAGGGGTATTTGTATATCATGAAGCCAACTGACAAAGATTTCCTTTAAAGAAAAATCAGTTACTCCAACTTAGGCCATAAAAAAAGTAAAGAGAAAAGAAAAGAAAAGAAAATGCAGTAGTCTTCCTTGGTGGAAGAACAGGGGAGGTGGAATCCTATTGAAGCATGAGAAATCTAGTCCACACGTGCTAATCACTTCCTTTTTAATTTTTGTGTGTCTTGTCAGGCCCTGATGAGGACACCCATGAACTGGCCATTATTTAACCCTTGTCTCTCTGATGGGTAGCAAATTAGAAATACACGTACTACCAAATTCAGAGATCTAGATTTATAATCCACATAATTCTATACCAGATAAAATCTTTTTTTTTCCCCAGGCCCAGAAGAAACTGAAGGTGATTCAGCAAAGCTGCCAGTATATGTGTGTGGAGATATACATATATATATATATATCCATATATATGTATATATACACCTGTGTGTGTGTACATGATTGGGGAAAGGAATGGAAGAGAGACCCATAGAAAAGCCCCAGGGGTCCAACCAAGTAGCTGCATCCAGCTGCAGTTCTTTGACGCTCTATAATCCTGGGAATGGATAGAGCCAGTAGCTTGAGACCCCCTTAGAAGGCATTATTACCTCGATATAGGGGACGATCTTGCAAGAAAAGTCCTCCAGCAGCCATTTCTTGGTCAGCTCGTGGAAGATGACGAGTGGAAGGCAGAAGAAGATGATGAGAAAGTCCCAGAAGGCCAAGTTGGCTAAAAGAGAGTTGGAGATGCTGCGCATGTAGTAGTTGTGGCACACGATGCACATCACCGCCAGGTTGCCAATGATGCCGGTGCCAAAGATCACCACGGACAAGCACATGACCGCGTAGGCTCCATAGGACTCCTGGGTCAGCGGGTAGAAGGGATTCTTCAGTCTCAAGCGACGGCTTGTGCTGTTCCCCCGGCGGGGACCCCCAGGTTCGTGGACCTCATCACCCAAGGACCCATTCTGGGGTAGCGCCCTCCCGGGGAGCGCCACAGTGCGCCCTTCCAGCCCTAAGGGTCCGTAGCCCAGCTTGGGAGGAAGTTTGTGATGGGAACCTTGGAGTCCCCCGGCTCTCCTTGGCCAGTAGAAAAGATCCCTGGCTCCTGGCTCCGGCTCCTGGCTGCGTCGTCGGGGAATGCCCGAGCCTCTGGGACTCTCCTCTTCCTCTTCGGAAGTCTGCAGGTAAAGTTGGAGATCCGTGGGGTCCCCTCTCCTCGGATTTCCAGGGCGCTCCAGACCGCGGGCACTTTTCCATCTCCAGCGGCCGGGGGACCTCGTCGGGGGTCCCGAGAGCCGAGGCTCGGACGCCTCCGCCCCTCGGTCCGCACCTGGGTCACGGCCGGGGACCACAGGTTGGTCCCAGGAGGACGCCACCTGCCCGGCCGCCTTCAGCCCTCCTTCCCTGGGCTCACGGACTCGCAGGACGTCGCTCGCAGCAGCATTTCCCGGTCCCCGAGCATCTCGGCTGCGACGCTGGATCAGGGGTGAACAGCTCTCCCCAAGACACGTCTGACTCCCCAGCACCGAAGAGACACACGCCCGAAGCAGCAGGAGAAGCAGCAGCGGCGCCAGGCGAGCGCCTGGCGCGCCCGGGCGGCGCATGGCTGGGCGAGGGCGCCCCAGGCAGCCGGATTCTGGCTCGGGACCGACACCTGCTGCCTAACTCGCGGCGGCCAGTGAGACTCTCATCACGCACTCCCTCCCCTCCCGCCCGGAGCGCGGGGTAGGGAGGACGCGCGCAGGGGGCGTGGGGGATGGGTCCTGGGAGTCATAAACACATCCTCACAAGTCTTCCCCGCGATCGGCGTTCTGGGCTTTTCTCCCCACCAGATGCAATCCAAGCTCCGGGTATCCTTGAAGATTCTGGGAGGAAAAACAAAACAAACACAAAAAAGAAAGCTGGTCCAAGGGGCTGACCTTGAAAAGTTGCGAACACCACCTGCTGATGGACTGCTGCGGCGACGGGCCCGGCGAAGCCCCGCACGCTCCTCCCTGCCTCCGGGTGGTGGCTGCCTGGTAGTGACAGTTGCTGGGCTTATTTACATCCTTTCCACACGGCTGGATCCCGTGGCCGGCCGAGTCCCCTCCCCTTCCCCCCGCCCCCCCCACAGGTGACTGTGACAGGCACAACCCCCCTCCCCGCTCTCTGCGAACAGGTTGCCAAACAGAGGCTCCGAGGGATGGCACCTGGCAAACTCCTGCCCCACCGAAGTCCAGCCACTTTGCCACCCAGACGCAGCCGGATTCCCGATCCGCGCCCACTGCTTCAACTTGCTTCTCCTCCGGCTCAAAGTTGACCGGGCGGAGGGCACCGGCGGCGGGCTGGGCGACCTGCCCCTGCGGGGCT